ATTGTTATGACTCAAATTCCTTTCTTTTAAGAAAGAGATCACCATCGACAATACTTGACAATTATAATCTGAAGCTATATAAAATCTAAAACTATAAGGGACATACATTAGTGGCTATTTTTAAATATAAAAAAAATGATGACAGACTTAAAGAGGTAGATAGCCAGGTATCTGGTAGATATTTAAGGTATTTGTTCATATTTACAGGATGCATTAAAGAATACTTTGAGCATCCATGCCTTATATATGACTGTGATAAACTCACACATTGAAACTTACCTATAAATTTCATGCTCTGAATATTATCTAGTTCTGCTTACTTATGTATTCTATTGAGAAGATGTATTATACTTGTAACCAAGAGTCCAGTAATAAAGCCTTCTAAAACCTTTATCTTTGGATTGAGCAGGATGGTAAACGGGTTAAGTTGTCTATAATGAAACTTCATTATCTTAAGGTATTATGAATTCTCAGACTACAAAATATCTTTAAATTACTACAGAGTTTAAAAGTTCAGGAATTTTGTTAAAATTTTTAAAAACTGTAAAAAAGACAAAAGAAATGCTTCCCTTACATCAGTTCCCATTACAGCAGAAATGTACTTTTTCCAGCTAATTTGCTTCTATGAACTGAACCAAAGGGCTTGGCTAATGACATTTTGAAGTTTGTAAAGGACCAAAAATAGTAATATATCCAATCCATTTAAAAGTGGTACAGTTTAGGCTTCAGAATTTTATTTTAAAGGTTGTACAAGGCCAGATTATGAGGCTGTTGCAAACCTGGGAAATCTCTATCGCATGCATGAGATAAAAGAGAAGAGTTAAAGGACAAAAGTAAATATATTTGTCATTTTTACAACCATTCGGTAGTGATGAAACCATTCAGTTAACCACAGATTAACTAGTTAATCATACAAAAGTAACCATTCAGATTTATCTCTCTACATGAATAACATTATTAATGGGACTTCTAGACCTGTTGGTAAATTAAAATATTTGTGTTTATTAAAGTTTTTAATTTAAAATTACATTAATTATAATTATAGAATCTTAAGGACTTAACTGAAATTAAGGCATGGGTCACTTCAGAAGTATTAAAAATAGTATATAAGAGCAGTTTTATAAAAATGTCACTAAAGACTGATATATTGTGCCTGGATATGCTTCTATTGAGTGTGTTTTTAGTGTGTCTGATTCTTTTAACCTCAATCTATTTGGATGGCATGAATTACGGTGAAAGGAGAACAGCTTATTCACAAACACAAACCTCTGGAGACATCTTATGAGTGATATGATAACATGTTAATATCATGAAAAACCTTTCCAAAATTACAATGATATACATACCCTCCCAATACCAAAACATTGGTCATTATCATTAATGACACATAGCTTCTTCAGATCCTTTTTCCTTTCACAGAAGATTTCAATTACAAACACTACACAACTAGTGACTCAATACAAAATAACTTCTCCCAAATTCTCCTAATGTGATCAATCCTCTATAAATGCTAGAGAATGAATACCATCAACTTATATACCACCACTTGCACAACAAAAAGTCCCAATGCCTAAGAAGCTAAACACTCATATATCAGTCATGGCTGCATGGCCAGGAAAATGAACATCATGATGGACTCCTGCATTCTTCACATTGTGCTCATGGACAAAGTCAGTGTAGTTTCTATGTGCAGGCTGGGGTGGGGACAAGGCCCTTGTGTTCCACTGGTTTCCACCACGTTGACAGCAGTCACTGGCAGCAGAGAGCCTGGATGGTTGGGAGTGGGAGGGGAGCACAGTTAGTCAATAGGAATAGGAGATAATGGATGTGTAAGAGATAATAAAGGAGAAAAGCAATGTGACCAGCATGCACCACTGACTGCTATGAGTAGTTATCAACATCTATTTCATGCAATCACATTCAATAACAAAGGAAAGGAAATCCACAAAGTTACATGTAGCAGAAAACATCAATATGGAAAGGAGATATGTTTAAGTATCAGAGTCAGTTAAGTGAATTAAATAAATAGAAAATTTCATAGAGAACAAGACACTTTGTATCTGTCCCTGATGCTGCTACCAAAATCAAGGCAGAAATATGTTGTTTGAGGGTCTAATAAAATGAAATAACATTTATAATCTACTTAATTCAAATATTTGATGGGACAATTAATTCTTCATAAAGACAAAGATTTATAAAAAAGGGCAATTGTGAAAATTATTCCCCAAATTAAGTGATTTCATAAAACTGAAATCCGGGAAACAAAATTCAGAATGACCATTTAAAAAAAAAAATCTATCCTCAGAGGCTATGTAATTTTACATCAGTGTTCCCAATTAACAAGAGAATCATTGTTCCTTCTATAATCAAAGTTCACAGGACTTCAGAATGAAATTCGACAGGTACAGATAATGTGATGAGATTGTAAGCCCCTCTCCCCAAGAAACAGTTTAATAAGCATGTTAGGTACCTTACACAGTGTTATAGAATAGGCCTACAGAACTATGGCAATGAAACATGCATAAAAGCAGTTCCTGGTTAGAAATGATTAGAGTCCTCTAGCAGAAAGAAAACATTTGTCAAGGTTCAGAAAATCAAGGTTTTGTGACATGGCAAAAAGGGCAGCACATATTTAAGAGGTATTTAAATACAGTATTTTTCTAACTCAACCAAAACATGCATCTTCACCATTTTTCCTTAGGGAAACTGAAAAGAATTAGCTAAAACGATTTCTTAGAACAAACTTGAAGCCTTTTTGTTAACAATGAAATGATCATCTTTTCTTCAACTAAAATACAATTTGTTCATCAGCTCTAACCCATAAAATTCATAACCCTTAAATATAGGTAGGATCTCTGAAAATTTAGGAAATTAAATTAGGTTTATGTTCTCTCGAAATATGCAAGATTTTCCAAATATTCAGTTTTGCTTTTGTTTTTATAAATGGTTTAAAGAACTTAAAAGGAATTGTTTCTCAATCGTTATTGGATAATTCTAAGTTATTGATATACTAAATCATTCACTAAAATAATGGTATCATTTAGAAGATACTAGGAAGAAAAAGCTAAAGAACTGAACAGGGAGTAGGTTTAAACTGGTTACAAGTTATCTGCCAGAAACGGAATAGTCCATTACTCTGCCCAACTGTTCAAACCTAGTGAGCATTTTCAAATTTTATTAATGTATCGCTTTCTAAAGGAGGACTCTTCCATATTAATTTAAAAGTATTAATAAGAATCAAAGCATGCAGAAGCAAAGAATGAAATGCAAAATGTATTTTAAATTAAGGCTGGGGAACCCATTAGCTCTAAGACATGCCAGTTGTATAATCAGTTCCACGACACTGTCAACATACAGAGGCTCATTAGGTTTAAGGACCACCATTTTACTCCATTTCAGCAAAGGAGGTCTCAGCACAATTACATAAAAGAAGGACACACAGCTCCAAATTTTTCATTTTTCTTGAAAGTCAATACTCTGATTCAATAGTCTCTCTTTCTAAAGGCTGCACCAAAGGAACTGAGTAGTGCCTAACAAATCAAACATTTAAATATATATATATATACACAAAAATTGGAAAAGTCAATAATGATTTAGTGTCATAATACAGGATGCAAAAAAACCAGACTCTCATTCCATTATATATAAAAGGTAAGCACATATTAAGGGAGTTCTTTTATAGGTGAAGTCTCAGTATTATCTTTCCTTTCCAAAAAGATTCTGTGATAACATCAAGGAGATAAAAGGCAGCTGCTTACTAGAGCTGTGTTTTCATTTTCAGTAAGAAATTAAAGAAATTTTTTTAATGGCTTAAAAAATAAAGACTAAAATTTGACACTTAGAAGCCTCACCGTTCATATTTTAATCGTGTGCCCACATGCACATACACACGAGTACCTCCACCACACTGCCACGTAGAAAAGAAAAAAAATGGTGGGGGAGAAATCCCTCAATTTTAGAAACTAATCAAGTTGTTTGGAACTGAAGTAAATATATGCCCAACCATCAAGAGCAAAGCACCTTGCAGTTAGTTAAGCCAAAATAACAGTGAAATACAATTGCATAGCAAAGAGACTAAAAATGATCACCAACCACTGTTGACCCACCACCATGAAGGAAGAACTGGTTGCACAGAAAGCTGACCAAAACCTTGAGATCACCACAGAAACTCATTAGATTTCAGGTAGGAAATAAACTAAGAGCAAGAGAAAAAGAGAAAAATCCTATGAATTATTAAAGTTCATTTCATAAATAAGACACAAAGCCTGAACAGATGAGGCAACCAACATGACCACGCAATCAAATAATTCCCAAGGACCACCCCCCTGCAGGCATATATATTTGGGAAAGAATGAACCCCAATGATTAACCCCAATAGCCACAAAGTATCCATATTTGTGTACTTACTATTAATCTAAAGGAAAAAAAAAAAAAAAAAAAAAAAAAAAAAAAAAAAAAAAAAAAAAAAAAAAAAAAAAAAAAAAAAAGCCTGGAAATCTAAACAAATGAATTATCTTCCCTGTGATCAAATTATCTCTCTATCTCCCAAAATGGAGTATTCCATGCTTTGTTTTACTGGACTATAATCATGTTTCCCTTTTGCTTTATCTTCAGTCTTCAATGAAGGAAACACATCCAAAGCAGCATTATGTAGTGTGGAATAACATGTAACAAGCACATTTTCCTTATGGATCTGGGAAAAGGTTCTGCTGACTAAAACTAAAGTCTTTTTTAACAAAGAATCCCCTACCACTTCCAGATCATGCTAACCAAAATAAGGAGAGGGGTCTGATGTTCTTCATAGACTGCACTCTGGAGCTTTTTCATCCACATCTCTTATCTTCTTAATCCCTATAACTACTTAATAACATGCTTCTTTTCAGATTACAAATATGAATAATTTGCTTTCAATCATATTTAAAGTACTCCACAATTATGGCTGGGAAATTAGACTATCATTAAACAAGCAATATTTTATTTGGTTTAAGGAATTGACAAACCATTTCCTATCATGCTGGTCTGTCCCAGGATTTCTTGGAAGATTCTCTATCTCCACCAGCACAGGACCAGAGGTAACGGAAGGAGTTGCAAACACAGCAGATCTCATGCCCCAAGCCTTTGGACACAAATTATAAAAATCATCTATTCTGCCTAGATAAAAGATCTAATAAAAAGAACACTGAAATTGAATATTATCTATATAGGGAAGAAATATAAACGAATTCTTGAATATTATATATCACTTTAGAAATAATAACCTAACTGAATATTTATATTTTATTCATTTTATAGGATTTACAGGAACAGAGTATGTTTTATAGATACCTATTCTATTTATAACATCTTAGAGAATAAAATAACAGAGGATTTCCCATTACTGAGCCATTTTATAGATAAAGAAAACGCATAAAACTTCCCCAAAGTTACACCCCTATGAAAAGTCAATTAACAATACCACATTTTGTTATAATTAACTACAGTGTTCTAATGCATTAGAAGCTTAATATTAAGAAGTCTTACCTGCTGGGAACCATTACTCTGAGTTGAAACATTACTGTGAACACTGTAATGGGAGAAAAAAAACTATTAAAAACTACATATAAAACTTTAGGGCTTCACATTGTCAGATTATACATACACTAATGAAAGTAAATTATTTTTAAAGACATTAATTTTGTTTCAAATAAAGAAAAAAATTACTTGCCTAAAACTAAGAATGTAAGATGCCCAGAAAATATTTGGTTTTATAGGCACACACTTGCTTTTCTATATTCTGCTCATTTGATATTTCTATATATCTATATTTTAATTATGTTTCAGATGTATACTTCACTGCTAATCTTATGTATTCATATAATATATCGAAGATGACCAAATAAAGATAGCAGCACAAGCGATGCCTTAAATTCAAGGCATTAAGCACAAACATCCAGATAAACTTACCTGTCACTTCTTTTTATGTATTTCTACCCTCTCAAGATTTTCCAGTTTCAGCAACAGCTTAGCATTTTATAATTCAAAAGGCCTTGGTAAAAAGTTAGAAACTCCTCTATATACTTTCCCCTGCAACTGATTTATAAATTTGTTTTTAAATTTTTAGTTTAGGCACTCATCTAACCCCCTAACCAAAATAAAGCACTTTAAAAAGCTCATAATAGAACAAAATAAATAGAAACCTCAAAACAACTAAATAATAAAACGAATATTCAATGAAATAAGAACTCAAAGATGTTACCACAATAAGATGAGAGGGGAAAAAAAGAGCATATGGACTTCAGACCTTCTGACATAAGCATAATTAGTATCCTGAGGTAAAGAATTCAACTTAGGTAACTAAAAGTATATTGATAATTATTTTAAAAGTTCCTTGAAAGTGAGAAAATAATCTACAAAGTTAATGAGAACACTGGGTTTCAGAAGAGATACAAAATTAAATACATTCAACTCCTTATTGTTAAATTACTGACCCTCAAGGATGAGAAAAAAATATTCCAGGTACCTTAAGGAGATTTAAAAGCCAATCACTCCTGGTATCAGGTTGGCACAGACTTTTCCATAGCAATATTCAAGAATGTTATACCCAGCCAAGATGTCATTCCAGTAAAAGGAAATGGGTAAAGCTTCTCAAATACAAACAAACTGAATACACCATCCAGGAGTCTTTCTTAGAGGAGTGAGAATAAAACAAAAACTGTCTGATGATGAAAGACAACCAATTAAGAAAGAATTAGAGAATGAAGTCTTGCTAAAAGGCTGGGTAATGAATAAGGAGTGAAATCATTTTATGTGTTATTTTTAATTAACTACATCTCTTATTATGAGTCACTGGAACTTGCACAACCATTGACTGGGTTCAAATCCAAGTGTCCCAATAGCTCTGCTCTCAGAATTTCAGGTTTCTCATTTGCATGAGACTGTTTAGGATTAAATGAATTCATATTAGCAAAGCACAAAAAACAGTGACAAAGCTAATCAACAAAAAAGAAAAACTTTGAAAAATTGTTTAGTACAGATCTGTTGCTATAGCAAATGTAAAGAACATACCTGTCAGGCACAAGTGTTTTTTGCTAATTATGTTGCTCTTTTCAGAGTATGTTATGTGCTGGCTTAAGTAACTTATAATCCCAAATATTAATAAAATCTCATCCAACCTGCTGGTACAGAAATTAGAGTCACTACTCTACAATCCCCTGGGTTACTCTCTGGAGCTTTTCCTTTAACTGGAAATAACTCCAGTAGGTGATGGATAGAAGATGAATAATAATAACCTGAGAAAAAGTGCTTAAATAAGTGTTAATTGGCTTATCGCTCCATTTTTAAACAATTTGAAATGTGGAAAGTACTGTCATCCCATAATTACACATATTCTTTCACCTCTGCTAATATGAAAGTAGGAAGGAATACTTCTCATTACTGACCTAATCCAAGCTTCTCCTTTTATAGGACTACCTGCAGTAACTGACCCTTTTTACTTTTGTATCACCTTTATTCAACATTTCTTCCACCATTTCTTCTTTTCTTCTCTTTTCTGTCTTCAAGATTCTATATGCTAAGCCTGAATAAGAATAAATTATCCTTTAAAATGTCACCTCTTCTTAAGATATTTTCTATCAGTCAAGACACAAGGGAGTAGTTAGGAGATAAAATAGTACAAGTAAAATGAATGACATCAGCCAATTTAAAAACTTGTTATTCAAATAGGCACGGTACAAGGTCAAGAAGCTTTTTAGGTCAAATAGTTGTGCTTTTTCAAACAGTAAGGTTTTCCATGGTTCACTGGAGCAAAATTGTTCATGCAAACAGAATTACAAGGGCAAGACTTGAAAGGACATTCATGACAGTCCAAGCTTATGTTCTCTCAAGCACTGTTATGAGTAGTTCTCAATAACCTTTCAGGACAGCTGTGTCCCCCGCTCCACATTTCACTTCTAAAAGTTTATTCTAATAAAAAAAAATAATAAAGTATCATCACTTAAATATATCCCATTTCTGCTGTGTTTACCAGAGCCAAAAGCAATACTCAAGAAGACACGCTCAAAAAATTAGTTGTTGAATTAATTTTAATTCTAGGAAAGATTATTATCATACTCACTTTTGGTCAAAAAGATGTATTTCGAAAAAATTTTAAAGGAGGAGAAACTCTTATAAATAAAAACTTTAATTTTCAACTATATGCCATTGCTGGAATGCTTTGTTTACATCTCTGATGACTTCATGAGGTTATCTTCTTTATTTAAGCTCTAATATTATGTTCTAGCCTCCCTTTCAGGAAAGCAAGACATGATCCATTAAACAAAAACAAAACAAAAATGCAGACAAGCTCTAACATTTTTCCATCATTTTCTTACAGCACAGCTTATATATAATACCAAGAAAAATGAAATAACCAACAGTTAAACAAACTTCAGGGGTATCATTCAAAAAGCAGAGTGTTTTTGGGCAAATCATAAATCACACCTGGCTTTAATGGCTAAGTGAAAAAAACGGAATAGGATATCTCAAGGTGAGGCTGACCATACTCAGTATCCAAAAACAAATGTTTCTTTTGAAGAGGAAATATATCTGCCATAATGCAGTGTAGACAAATTCAAAAAAGGAATAGATTTATATATCCAGAATTTGATATTTTAACAGGCATCCCAGGAGACTTTGGTACTCAGAAATGGTTGAAAAGCATTACATGAGACTATACATTGTAATACATACTATTAAAATTAACTGAGTAATCAAAAGTAAGACCTCCAGAATGGTGGTTGAGAACCCTCTCCCCAGTGCACTAAAGATTTAGCTACAGAAAATTATTTTTAAAAAAACTGTCAAAAGGCATAGGTCAAATGGAAAAAACATTTATTCAAGAAAATCTACCAATTCTCAGAGCTGAGTCTGGCATTTCAGCCACAATTTGCTCCTTTTTCCCATTCTCCCAAGTTCAGTGTTTTGGAAGCTCTACCCCACGTGGGTACGGCCAAGAAAAAAAACTCTCTCTGCAATGTACACTTTAAATTAGCTATTTTAAGTATGTTCAGAAACTAAAGAAACCAAATCTAAAGAAATAAAGGAAAGTATAAGAACAATGTCTCCACAAATTAACATCATTAAAGAGAGAAATTATAAAAAAGAACCAAAAAGAAATTCTGGAGTTGCAATGTACAATAACTGATATAAAAATTCACTAGAGAAACACAGTAGCAGATTTGAGCAGGTGGAAAAATGAGTGACTTGAAGATAGGCCAAGTGAGATTATATAGTCTGAGCTACAGAAAGAAAAAGAATGAACAAAAATGAACAGAGACTTGAAGACCTGTGGGACACCATCAAGTTTAACAACATATATGTAATGAGGGTTCCCAGAAGGACAGGAAAAAGAAGAAAGGAACAGAAAGAGAATTTGAAGAAATAATGGCTGAAAACTTTCCAAATTTAATGAAAAGAATATATCTTAGAAAAGCAACCAGAAGAGAAATGGATTAGCAATACTTACATGAGACAAACTAGACTTTAAAACAAATAAGCTACTAGAGGAAAAGAGGGATATCATAATAAAAGAATTCAACAATTATAATAAACATATATGCAACTAAAAAAGTCCCAAAATACATGAAGCAAAACTGAAAGAACTGAAGTGAGAAACAGACAATTGAAAAACAATTGAAACCTTCAATATTCTAGTCTTTTTAAAAAATTCTTTTAAATTGTAAAAAGTTAGACATTTATACAATCCTTGAGTGATTCCCCTCAAGTACTCCAGCACCTGTCTGGCACTACACACGACCATTAAAATAATATTGACTATATACCACTATGCTATACTCTAATACCTAGTCTATTCTCTAGTCTTTCACTAGGTGAAAGATCAACAGTGAAATAGAAGTCTTAAACAACAGTATAAACCTATAAGACCTAATAGATATCTATAGAACATTACATTCAACAACAGGAGAATATACATTCTTCTCTAGTTCACACGAACAATTTTCCAAGATAAATTACCAGCTAGGCCATAAAACAAGTCGTAATAAACTTAAAAAGATAAAAATCATACAAATTATGTTCCTTAACCATAATGGAATGAAATTACAAATAAAAATAACAGGAAAATTTAAGGTATTTACAAATATGTGGAAATCAAGCAACATACTCCCACGTGACCAATGAGTCAAAGAAGAAATCACAGAAGAAATTAGAACATAATTTGGGACAAATAAAAATGAAAAGTCAACATACCAAAACTTATGGAATGTGACTAAAGCAATGCTTGAAGGGAAATTTATAGCTATAAACGTTATGTTAAAAAAAAAATTAAGATCTCAAATCAAGACACTAGAAAAAGAGCAAATAAAACCTAAAGCAGGCATAAGAAATGAAATAATATATCAGAGTGAAAATTTATGAAATATAAAAATAAAGAGAAACTGATGAAACCAAAAGCTGGTTCTTTGAAAAGGCCAACAAAAATGACAAAATTTTACCTACACTGACCAAGAGGGGAAAAAAAGAAACTCAAATTACTAAAATAGAAATGAATAAGGAGGCATCACTATCAACCTTTCAGAAATAAAAAGGAAAAGGGAATATAAACAACTGTATGCTACAAATTAGGTACTGTAAATGGACAAATTCTAGAAAGACACAAATTCCCAAACTGACAAAGTAAAAAATGAAATCTGAAAAGACCTTTAAGAAGAGACTGAATTAAGAATTTTAAAACTTTACGCAAAGAGAAAATCCAGGCCAGATGGCTTTAATGGTGAATTCTATTATACTTTAAACACCAACTCTTTACAAACTCTTCCTCAAAAATAGGAGAAAAGGAAACATTTACCAACTCATTCTGTAATACCAGGATTACCTTGATACCAAACCTGATGAAGGTATTACAAGACAATTAGAGCAATATCATTGATGAATATAGACACAAAAATCCACAACAAAATATTAGTGAACTAAATCCAGCAACATGTAAAACAAAGAAAGATTATAGACCATGACCAAGTGGGGTTTACCTTACGAAAAAATTGCTTATCTGCAAATCTACCTTTCCTCTTTGGGCTCCTTGTGGTTACATACGGACCATAATTTATTTATCTTTATATCCTGAGTCACGTGCTAATAACAAACATATGTCATTCTAATAAATAGCACATCCATCCCATTCTACTTTTTATTTCTTTAAACTGTTTTATTTGTCTTTGTGTCAACTTTATCTGGCATTATGTGTTTATTTGTTCCCTGCCATATCTCAAATGCTTAGAGGCAACACTTTTGACAGATCTTCAACAAATATTCATTTAATGAATGACAGAACTATATAAATTCTAAAACGCGTTATGTCAATTCATAAGTTGCAAGACATTACCCACCTGAGTTCTTCAGATTTTGCTGTACTTGCTGATAAAATAAAAAAAGAAAACATCCCATTACTTTACTCTTACATGGTAAATCGCATCACTATCCATAAAAGTATATCTGGACTAATTGCTTTGTAAGCCATATTTCCCAACTATAGATTTAAAAACCTTCATTCCACAAAAGTATTCTAGGGTTCACATCATTAAAGTCAATAATGACAATTACTTCCATTTCTGAAATAAAGCAATAAAATAAGCATACATCTCTTCTTTTAAAACAAAACCATCAGCAAGCCTTCTAGAGTGAACTGAGTGACAATGAAACATTGTCAATGAAAAGTAAGAGGTAAGTGAGGGTTTTAAAACAAAATGAAATGGCTTCATTAATAACTACATATCATTTACTTTGTAGCCATACCAAAAATTATAAATATAAACCATCAGGTCGTGGTGGTTGTTTTTGAACAACTGGTGATGACTCTGACAATGGACATACTTAAAATTCAATCTGTATTTTAATATGTCTAGATTTGAAACCAAACACAAGTTTTGGTTTATCTCTCAAAGTAAACCATGCTTTTTATTACATAATTTAAGTAACTTAAACAGCAAGTAACATTTATGAATTTGAAAATGTCTATGAGTTATGCACTGATGATTAAATTTAAACCATATTTCACAAAACCCTTAAAATTGTAATACCGTACAAAATAACTTTTACTTAAAATGTATTCATCATTTACCAATGTTTTTAAAGGTTCCTAAGGGAATTTTAAATATTATGAATGAGATCTAAATGCCAAAAAGGGAAAACATTGCTCGCAGAATAATGTTTAAATTGGGATTAACGAAGTTTAATCTCAGCAACAATATAGGCAATTTTTCCTTTTGTATTTTATTAAATTGATTATGCCAGAACCAATTTCAATAAATAAGAATACTTTAGTTGACTGGAATACACAAGATTCAGATGCCTTCTCAAGTAAACAATAACAGAACATGATGTCCTTTGAAACAGAGCTGCATTTCACCTTTCAGCGGTAGAGTCCGTCGAGAATATCGTTTGCTGGGCCTTCTTTCAAAGGATGTTGATCTTCTTGCTTTATTGGTTTTTGTAGTCTGATACTCAGTTTTCCCACTGAAATAAATATGGCATATTAACAGGAATAAGAGAATATAAGGCTTACAGTAATCAGATACACATAAGGCAGAGAAAGCCTACACTGGGGGTTCTTAAAAAAAATTTTTTAACTTCATCCTGAAGGAGGCACTACTAATAATAGTCTTGATGTCTCTTTACCACATCATTCTTTCATTCTCTAGGTTTGTGTGAAAGATGCAACATACACATTATATTGTGTTTGTTTTTTTTTTAAAGCATGCATGTCACCTAAGAACTTATTAAATACGTTTGGAATATCTGTGCTTTTATGGAACTCCTTCTCCTCCCCATTCACACTCCTCAATAAAAAGTGTATCATTAACTCAAGATTTTCAGTTACTTTTTCAAATTGTGAAAAAGTATACTTTTCAAAATAATTTTCTAGAACTATTTAAAACTATTTTCCTACTCGTCTTGATTTTCATTTAAATTCTGTGAAGAAAATGTTTCCCTGCTTTTAATATAGGTAGAGTAGAAGCTCTCTTAATGAATCCCACACGATCATCTTTGCTACATTATTGATACTATCCATTCCTTCTTTAAATCATACTGATTCTCATGGCATGCTTAAAACTCACAATAATCGACTCTCAAGTAAACCAAACATTTCTAATTTATGACCAACAAAAAGTTGTCTAAATTACAAAACTTCAGATTTATAAGGGACCAGAAATGTTATCCAGAATAATTTCCATTCAGTGCAAGATATCCTTTTTCTATATGGTATCCAGATGGATTTAAATTGGCTGCTAATAAATATATGAAGTAAATGTTAAGAGGGATATAAAAATCCATTACGCCATTATAAATAACGTTTTCCTATCTATTCTGGAAATTACAATAAAAAACAGTACTTTTATTTTGGCCAATGGAAAACACTGGCAAGCCACTTTATTTCTCTGTGCCTTAGTTTCCACATCTATAAAAAAAAAGGGGTTGGCCTAAATTTTTTGGCCTTCATGAAAGAATGAACGATATAGCAGGCAGCTATTAAAATTAACCTATATCTAAATCGTGATCCTAGTCGAATAAATCCTGATCGCTGAGAATTCTTTTGGACAGGGCCTCGGAGGCGGAAGAAAGCATGATGCTCCACAGCACATTTCCATAAATGTTTGCATGCTTTTGGATGATCCAGTCTGAAGACAAATGTATGCTCCTGCTCTTTGCCCTGAAAAGAAGAGGATGCAAAGAGAGGTAATTATTAGGTCAAACAGTCCTGTCTCTTGTTATTCAGCTACAAATACAACCACAGCAATACCCAGAATCAAATAAAGTATCTAGTATGCTCCCTGAAACTCAGACACTCTTTATAGCTACCCATATAAAGATCTGAAATCAAGCTGTCCATTTTCTCAGTCAATATAAAATTATTTCTAAGAGGGTCCTCTTATTTCTCAGAAATACAAAAAATGAGGCTTCTCTGCCATACTTAAGGATAAATGTATAATTATAATTTAAAGGGTCATATAAGATCTGGCAATATATACCAAAAGACTTAAATATGTCCATTCTTTGTCATAATAACCATCCTCACAGGAATCTAATTATAATAGTTAACAGTCATAGGCACTTCTCTAAGAATTTTACATTAATTACTTCAATGATAATATCGTTGGTCCCATTTCACAATTAAGGAAACTGAGGCAAGAAATTAAGCCCAAAGTCGCAAAGTTAGTAAGGGAGGAAACCAGAATTTGAATCTAGCCATTCAGGCTCCACAGCTTATGTTGTAACAACTAAGCTATAATGTCTCTCTAGGAAAAAAGATTTTCTAAACAAAGTTTACACTCATAGATTTTCAGTCTTATTTATAATAGTAAAAATAGGCCAAAAAAACACACACCCCTAAATGTCCAAAACAAAAGAAATAATAAAGTAAATAATGGTATATTTAAAAGCTATACAGAGATAAATGAATAAAAGATAAACGAATGCACTATTCATGTCACAGAATACTATATATAGGTTAAAATAAATGAACTAGAGCTATGTAGCTATACCTGTTTTAGTAAAATAAGCAAGCTGCAAAAAACCTAAACATATATATAATTCAAATAAATTTTAAAAACAATTCTACCATGTATTATGATGTGTATATTTTGAAAAAGTCAGAAATTATAACAATGATACCCTCTAAGAATGGTGGCAAGCTATGGGGAAGAAAGCAGCAAGCTGGGGAATTAGACCTTAGCTGTATCGAATATACTGTTACTAATTTATTTCTAAAAGATAATTCTGAAGCAACAATGCCAAATATTAAATTTAAATGAGTAAAACGAGTATCAATTTTATAATTTTTGTACTTTTCATATTTAAATATTTTGTAATTTAAACTATTTTGTCATTTTAAAATATTTTATAAACTCTACATGTAGTTTCTTTATGACCTTGGTATAAGTAAAGATTCTTAAATTTTAAGTCAGAAAATCAGAAAAAAATTATAAATTGTATCACATTAAAACCAAAACCCTCTATCCAAAAGATAATATTAAGGGAAACAAAAGGCAAGCCAGGGAGCAGAAGATACTTGCAACACATGTATCTGACAAAGAACTAATATACAGAATATATAAAGAACTTCTTCAATGTCACACAAAAGCAAATGACCCAATAGGAAAATGAACAAAAGACTTGAAGAGGCATTTCAATAAAAAAAAGAATACTCAAAGATCCAATAAATATATAAAGAAGTACTATTCATATAGTCATCAGGAGAACACAAATTAAAAATGATTCTACTACCAGAATGGCTAAAATGAAGATGAATACACCAAACATTAGTCCCCCTGCACCCTCCCCACCCAAAAAAAGACCAATGAAATTTTTGTACACTGTGGGTGGGAATGTAAAGTTATATAAACACTTTGGAAAACAGTGTGGTGGTAAAGCCACACACATGCATAGCCTAGTGTTCAGAACAGCACTCTTTCTAATAGCTGAAAACTGAAAACAATTCAAATGTGTATCAACCATAGGATGGATAAATAAGTGTGGTCTATTCATAAAATAAAATACTATATAACAATAAGAATAAGCCAACTACAACTACTTGCTGCCAACAGTGCTAAAGCTAACAATAAAATGTTGAAATAAAGAAGCCAGGGACAAAGAAAACATTCAGTCAGGTTTTACAATTTCAAAGCGTAAGCAAAAACTAATCTATGGTGTTAAAAGTCAGGAGATTGGTTACCCATAGGGCACCCTCCCTAGCGAGGGCACAAAGAAGAGTCTATTATTCTGGTAGTATTTGATTTCTTCCTCCAGGTTGGTCATACAGGTGTATGTGAAAATTCTATATGCTGTACACTTATTTTTGTACTTATCTGAATGTATGTTATACTTCAATGGAATTTACCAACAAAACTACACATTAAAAAAATGGAAAAATGCGTAAACTCAAAGTAGGGAAAAATCTTTCTATGACACAAAACCCTTAAGCTTTAAATGACTAACAAATTCACCTATTTAAATTTTTTAAAGTACATAGCAAAAATCACTATAAGCAGGGTTAAAAGACAAACAATTATTAGACAAAATAGTTACAATTTCTATGACAAAGTAGTTAAAAAATAGTTACAATTTCAAAAGAAAAATAGGCAAAGGATATAAACAGTCTGAAGAAAAGGAAATACAAATAACTCAAATGTATGAAAAGATGTTCAATATCACTCACTCATACAACAAATAAAAATTAAACCTATAATGAAATACCATTTTTTACCTTTCAGATAAAAATGTGATAAATCCTTTTAGGAAAAAGGTTAGTACACTAATAGTGCACCTTGACAGGATTTCTCTATATTCAAGACAAATGCATATAACCATTTGAACCAGCAAGTCCACCTCCAGGAAATTATCCTGTAGATACCTTCTAATGTACAAATTAATGTCTATATAGTGAATAAACGTCAATTAACTGAGAATTGTTAAATAAATTAGGGTACATCTGTACCCTAGAATACTATATAGTTTAAATAAGACCGAAGAAGTACTTTATGTACTAAAATGAAAAAGAATCCAATTTACGCAGTAATTTTAAAAAGGGTTAGTAGAGAACAGTTTATAAGCATGCTAACTTTTAAAATGAAAAAAGCTGATATACACCTTTGCTTGTATATATGTATATAATACCTTCAAAAAGATATCCAAGAAGCTAATACTATATTAGATCAAATCTAAAATTTGATTGTAACATGCCACTGATTGTAACATGCACAATTATTTTATGGCCCAATAAGAACAAGTGTGTCATCAATTAAACTATGACCATTTTTCTTTGTACAAGAAATGTTTTAATAATTATATTTTCTTATCATAGAATTATACTTTATTCTTCTTGAAGGACTGTCTTTAGATTTATAAACAAATATGAGGGATGGCTCAATAGTGTGTAGTGGTTAGCACATCTGCTTTATATGCAGAAGGTCCTGGGTTTGCGCCCCAGGTGGAGCCACAGATCATACTCGGTGTGCCAAACCTCGGGTGCACCAGGCCCTAGGTGCACTCCGCAAGCGTGTGGGAGGAGACGCCCGCCTTCAGAGATCCAGTTCTTAAGGGGAAATGGCAACATCCATAGGTCAGGGGTGGAAGTGGGGCAGGGGCAGAGAATTAAAGAGGGGAAAAAATAAAAATAAAATAAACAAATATCATTTAATTACATATGTGCTTACATATAAAGGAAAAATATTTGTAAAACATTATTTTCACATGTGAAATCTGCCTCTTCTGAATCATTCTCAATTCATTCATTGATGATACAATGATCATCTTCTGTGCCATCAAGAGATTTCTTTTTAAAATAATCTATTATTGTCTCTATGATTTTCTCTAAGCTATGTGAAACAGCAATCCTTTGTATGCATCTCAATAATAAAACTTAAAACTTTCAAAACTTATCACTGTTTCTAATTTTCAGAATCTTCTTTTTTAAGGTTCTGCTACGTAGCCTTTCTCACACCTTGCTGTGCATGAAAATCTTTTTTTACATTTTGCCTAATTTGCTTTTATCTATATCTATAAGTTTGCTAAAAGCACTTTTTTCCCAATTCTGTAAATTCTGACAAATACACAGAATATAGTACCTGCCACCAAAATCAGGATAAAGAATAGTTCTCTCATCCCCTCAAAATTCCCTATGCTGTTCCTGTGTAGTCAAGCCTCCTCACTCTACTTAGTTGCAGACAATCAGTGATCTATTCTCCATTCCCATAGGTTTCTCTTTCCCAGACTGGATTCATATAGTCATAATCTTTTGAGTCTGGTCTCGTTCACTTAGCATAATACATAGGAGATGCATCCATGTCTTATATCAATTAGGAACCAGATTTAACTAAAAAAAAAAGGTAATCCTTAGAAAGATTTATTTAAAAATATTATTAGGTAGATCTTTTTGATTAATCTTTTTCATCAGGTATTAATAAGATAAAGTCACTTAAATATAATTTTTATACATGAGATATATTATCAACAAAGAAACAAGAATAGTCTTATATTGTCTTTAATCTTAAGGGCAGAAAAACTGTATTTTTAGGATAGCGTGACCTGAAGTAGGAAATTATTTAATTATTAATTAAAGTTCTGTGGCTCTATAAAACAACAAAGAACCCTTTTACCCTTCTAGAGACTTAAGTTACCACATAACATAATCATTGTTAAGTAAGTAATGCAATACAATTCCTACCTGATCATCATCTTCTACCACCACCAGTGTTAATTTATTCTTCTTAAAATCCAATCTGGTTATCTTGGGCCTATAATAATATGAAAATAATAGCCAGATTTCAAATAAATGTCCTCTAAATTAAAAAAAAAAAAAAAAAAGGCTGTTGTTACTTCAAGCATATTAATCATCTCACTTCTGAACTGAAAACTGTTAAGAGGGTAAAAATAACCTGCACTGTCCATCAAAAAAGCCTCCAGTCTAAAAAAAAATAGTTAACAGGAATAAAAAAAATTAAAAAAACGTTTCAAAAGCAGTATCTCTAGCAAAATTGATGCTGCACATTTACCAGACATTAAAAATGTTAAAGGGGTGGGGGGAAATGAAGAAATCCATTATGTATATTTCATAGGCCCCCAACTATGGTATAAGAGATTCTCTAGGCCTAGTGTCAGAGCAGCAGCATAGGATGATGGATATAGGAAAAACTATAAAGCTTTTTAAAAGGCATAAATGAAAACAAAATATTGATTAGGGTCTTCACCTCTGTTTTCCATAGCAATTGTGGTTTGAGGAAATACATCTTTAATTAAAAATTTTTTTAAAAAACCTCACTTTGTGGCCCACTTTCTCCCTCCTACCTATAATAAAATCCTCAACAATTACGACATTTGAATTCTGTACTTTTATGAACTGTAAACGTTGAAACGATGCAACTCTAATTTTTAAATATAACAAGTAAAATATAATTATAAAACAATTTATTTACAAGAGCTGTACTAAAACAATAAGTAAATAAGTGTAATAGACAGAGGAGGGGGAAGGATCTAGCACTTGTTTGAGTGTAACAAATACCTACATAATGCCAAAGTGTCAGGTACTCTTCTAAGTGTTTTACAAGTATCAATTCAATTGATTCTCATAACAACCTTATGAGGTGGAATAAATGATACTTTTGTAATCTCTCCACCTTAATTTCTGGCCATGAAGCACATTCCATCTGTCCAGAGGGGAAGCTGGAAGCATCAGAGAATTAACACTCAAGGACTGGGTAAATAATACCAAGCTCCCTCACTCATCAAGGGACAAATTATTAAGGTGTTCTAGTCTGAAGTCTCTCACAGAGTCCCTAGCAGGGCACATCTGGATACAAAAACAAATGAAATACTATCTTCAACTTTTTAAGGGGAAATAATTTTCAACCTAAAATTCCATTCTCACCTCACTATCAAGAAAGCATGAGAGAAAAATATACCATTTTAAGGCATCCAATGATTTGAATAATTCACCTCCTATACCCTTTTCTTAGGCAGTTACTTGAGTATATATATATATCAGAGAAAAAACCAAAAGCAAAAAAAAGTGTAAACTATAGGAAGAAGACACAGGATCCTAGCTGAGAAAAGAGAAAAAGACCTTAGATAAAAGCTGTAGAGCAGCCTGTAGAGCAAATAGCTCCCACTAAGAATCATTTAATGCAACCCTTGAGAATTTGAAAGAACTCAGGGAGAAGACAAAGGCAGCTAATTTAAAGGGATGTTTTGGGTTTGGTACGTGACTTTGGGGTGGGGGGGCCAAGAATTCTAGGGAAAACACAAAGCTATATGGAAGGGAGATGTAATCCTAGTTGTGAGTTTAGGATTTCAGAATTTGGGGCTGATAAAGAAAAAGAGATAGCAGTATTGCACAATGAGCTTTACTGAGAGGTATTTGAACAGAGTTACATGAGAAGGGAAGTCCTTCACAGCAGAACATCCAGAGACAGCTGTTACAGGACCACTATCTAGAAGGGGAAGAGTCCAAGAACACTGCCGGGAGAGAGGGGAATTAGAGAGGTGGCTTAATGTGTCTAAGCAATGGCATTCATTAGCAAGGGGGTTAGTCTATGGATCAGAGAGCTCTGAAGGACAGTAGTGATTTTACAGCTACAAGATTTGTCTTATCAAATAGCTAGCTACAAGATTTGTCTTATCAAACGGCTAGCAGTTTGCAGTGAGATATGTAAACCAGACAAGTTCTAAATGACTAAAATTATACTTACTGGGCTATATGTAAAGCAACTGGACATGTGAGAATGTGAGTTAGGTGCTAGCGGGCTTTGATCTAACAGTCCTGCCATGCTGTGAAGAGGTAAACAACAAAGAGCCCAGTATAAAAGAGTCATCTTCGTCCAGTATACCACTTAAAATCTGTACCAATTCCAACACAGATAAAATAACATAAATACTATTTCCTGATTTTCAGCTTTTAGAACCAACCAAACGACACTTGAAGAACTTAATTATGGTTATGAAATCGAAATAATATCTATATTTGATGTAAAAGCAAAATGCAAATACAATTTAAAAGTTTGGATGATAGAAGTTGGGATACAGGAAGAGAAGCATAGCTTAAAAGGAGGGATAAGGGCATTACTATCTTTCTCTTACACAATAAAGAGTATGAAGTAAAAAGATTGTGAAATAAAAATTACTAAAAAAAAAAATGACATAACTACATGACAAGAGTGAGTGCCCGTGTGAACATTTAATACAAATAGAAATATATGATATTAAAACATGTATTTTGACATACTCGAAACTAATGGAATATAAAGATAGAAGAGTTTTAAAAACTGCCTCTGAGTAGTGGGACAAAAGATGGGTAAGAAGTATGACCTGAGACAGTTGCCAATTCATTTATAAGCTTTTCAGAACTATTTAATTTTCAAATTCTCTTTTATGTATTAACTTCGTATCAATGTGTTTTTACACAAAAAAACCCAAAGCAACGATAAACATCTTTGACATTAACAGTGCTTACCAAAAAAATAAGCCAATTTTGGTCTCTCCCTCAAAAACGAGGACTCCTGTTGGGGTTAGTCCCAAGCTATAGTCATTCCCATCTCTAGCCTAATTTGAAAAAAGCAAAATGTGTTAACTTTATTTGCATAAAACAGGTTTCACATTTTCACACAACTATTTTATTTTCACACTGAATTATATTAATTATATATAGGTAATATTAATAGGCGAGGTGTTTTCAACCATTAGAGTATCCAAAATAACATTCTCAGGAAAATTCATGTATACATTCAGTTCATTGAAATACTATAGTTTTAAGGTATGTCTTCATTGAAAATAGTTATACTTCCATTACAAAGAAAGCTTTCAGACTCTTCTCATATTCTATTCACCATTTAAATCACAAATTTTAGGGGGGAAAAAACTGTCTTTCTGGAAAAATTTAGCTACTTAAACTAGAAATAACTTAAATCACTACATAAGCTATACTACAGCTTATCAAAGTCTTCTCAAGTAATAAATTTTCAACTTTGCCTCCTAAATTATTTTAGTTTTTATAGAGCCTACTCAGTTTACGTGCTATGATATGAATAAAAGTGAAAGAATAAAAATGGTTTAAAAAAAATAAAAAATAAAAATAAAGATAGCTTAAAAGAACAGGCATACCTTTTCGGAAATTTTAGTTGTTTCTCTTCTTATACTTAACCTTTATGTGAGATTCTTATTATTCAGTATTTAATCTCACCCTTTATAACCACACATCTACAGTACACACTGGAGTCCATGCAAACTCCATGGCCTCTCTCACATTGAAAAATTCCATAGTCACCTTGAATCTTGAATGAATAAAAAATTTTTAAATTTCACAACACTGTGCTTACCTTGACCACATGCATATCAACCCCATACATTTCTAGCCATTTGGCTTTATTCAGATAATTGGTTTCAGCCTGTGCTGGTGTCTGACCTCTGAAATTTAAAAAAAAATTTTTTAAATAATAATAAATGTAAAATGAATATCAAGTATAGAAATAGAAGAAAAAAATATGAGATTACTATTGTGGTGATGTTAAAGAATGTGATCAGATGTCAAGTACCTGTATTCCTTCCATTTCTCAAAAATAGCCAGCTCCATTTCTTCAGTCTGAATGGGCATGAACCTGAACTCAGATACGAGTTCAGGACTATGCTCAGCAAGATCATAGTCACCAAGTTCAGCTAGAAATTAAGTTTCACAAAGTTATATTTCATTAATAATA